TGGTTTATCAACATTTGAATTGTTGTGTCACTGCTGATATTTGAGTTTTAATTTCAACATTGAATCTGTTAACGTGAAGGTTTCTGATCTGTGCCTTGCGCTTAAACATCTCAAGTGATTGTTTCCTTTCTAATTAAAACAAAGGTTTTACACATGATCACACACGTGTTACTTTGCACTTAGTTTGAGTTTTGTTGAACATATGGAGCAACTCACTGTGTTCAGGAGGACGTCTCACTTGGAGGATTAGAAACTTGTCCATCTGGATTCAGAGTGTTTAAGACGTTTGGATCATTTTCAGCTGTGAGGTCAGAAACACATCATGAGACCATCCTCCTCTGAACAGACACTTTTATTACAAACAACCAACACTGCAGGGAACAGTCCTGAAAACTCTCTTCAGCACAAAATGAAGCCTATTTAATCTAAGGAGGGTTTTCTAGAGTCCTGCACTGGGTCAGGTTCCTGTGGGGAGCCTCAAATCCATTGAAATAAATATTGGCAGTAGTGTGGACAAGGCCTAAGTGAACATTTGTGGCAAATTTGAAGAAATTCCCTCAAAGCATTCTTGAGATATCGTGTTCACAAGATGGGCACGAACAGATGAACAGCCTGAAAACATAACGCCTCCCTGACTGGTGCCGGTGTGGACCAATAAAAAGTGGAGCAAAGAGGAGTTGAGGGTGTTTTATAAAACTGGACATGTTAGTACTTTCAGCTGCTGTGTCAACGTGACGTGACGTCCTAATAAAGCATATTAGTATAAAAAGAAAACAGAGTAGAAATAGAAGTTTTACTTACGAGACGGGAGACATTTAACTGAAATAAAAAGAAAATACAAATAATTTCAGTTATTACAGTAAAAAAAAACAACCAGAATTTTGTCTTTGTTTTTTCTAGTGGCGATCCTCCTCAAACGATCCACATTATACTGTCACTTTTATTTATTTGTGTGCTGGACGTTGTGTGCAGAGCTTTTTATTAACAGTCTATGGTGCAGAGTGAAGTTAGAAAACTTTGTGTGAACCCTGCAGCTCTTGAAACAGATGTTGTGTGTGAGGAACTGAAGTTTGTTTCATGAGGWWTKATCCRGACRAAGCATTCATTAAAARAGTCTGAAATAAAAACACCATAAAAATATTGGACAAAGCTTCTGTGTTGGTCTCTCACCAWTYCTMTTCCTGTACACGATGAATCCAATGACAGCGAGGACGACACCGACCACTGCAGCGATGATGATGATGGTGGTCAYGTCAGTGGGCTTCTCTGTTGAGTGGAATAAAAAAACAAAGCATCASAACCTGAACAGATGAAGCAGGTTAGACGACAATAATCTCCCTGAACCACAATCCTGTACAATAGACACAACAAACACACACAGACAATCAACCTGTTTCTTTGTCCGGCTGTTGTTTCTAACACTGATCTAAATKTATTGATAAAAAGTGATAAAAGAAAATGACCCAAAACCAACAGAGAGAAAACGTCTCCTGCTACACGTCAGCATACATGACCTGCAGGACTGTTATTGGAAATGAATTGTGTGTTTCCCACCGTCATCACTGATTCAAGTCTCACCTCTGTTGGACTCCACTGAGTCTTTGTCCAGTCTTTTRACGATGTCCTCCTTCACACCAGAGATCTGGAACACACAGTCGTACCTCCTCCAGTCTTCAGGTGGGATTGATGAAACCTGCAGGTCAGYGCTCATCTGGAAGGTCCCGTCATGGTTGGGGAGGACCTCTCCGACGTACACGTCCTCATGAAGCTCCTCTCCGTCTTTCCTCCAGAACAACATGGCTATGTCGGGGTAGAAACCTGTAGCGTGGCAGCTGACTGGAGAGGAGGGAGACTTCTGGAGGAGAGACATCAAGGGAAGCTCTGTGGAGAAAGAAGAAAGACAGTTTATGGGTTATTCTAATGTATTGTATACTAATAATACCATTCATGTTTGATTCCATTGATTTAGCATTAGTCATGTCTGTTMATATACGAGACAAGTGAAGAACTGTGAGATGTGAGCGAGACAGAGGCTGAAGTGATGCAAAGACACTGGGGTGGACGATAAGACATCAGAGTAATATCACAGTATTTATTGAAAGGTGACGGTTTTATATCACGATAATTATTTTCTTTATACAAACACAAAGTAAACCTCATGTACTGAACAGGTCCTGATAACTTCTGGTTCATGTTGGTATTTTTTGTTAAAGTGCAAAG